CAATTCTTTTTTCTTTTGTTACTGGGGCTTTAATCAAGGTCACTTTATCATTGAGCTACATCCCCAGTCCTTTTTTATTTTTAGCTTTGAGTGTCTTGCTAAGTTGAGAGAGTATCTTTTGTTAAGTAAGTGTGTGTGTGTGTGTGTATAATTTTTTTTTTTTAAACGAGGGATTGAACTCAAGGGCACTCAACCACTGAGCCACATCCCCAGCCCTATTTTGTATTTTATTTGGAGACAGGGTCTCACTCAATTGCTTAGCGCCTCGCTTTTGCTGAGGCTGGCTTTGAACTCTTGATCCTGCCTCAGCCTCCCAAGCCACTGGGATTATAGGCATGCACCATTGTACCCAGTTATATTGGTCCTTATTTTTCCAGCTGCAACTTTGTGTGATGGGATGGAACCAAGGGCCTTGTAAATGCTGAGCATACCCTCAAACCCCCCCCCCCAGCAGCAATTTTTAAGGACTGGCACCTCAAATGAATATGTCTTGCTTCCTTGAGGCCTTGTCACAATAGGTTGGAGATATGTCCCTCCCTGCCCTAACCTGTTCTTGCTCCTCTGCAAACAGGTAGTGTCTGTGTTCTGTTGCTTTGGTCTCTGGATCCCTCGTTCCCTCATGCTTGTGGAGATGGCCATAACCTCGTGAGTGTTCAGCCCCACCCTCACCTCTGGTTGGGCATTTCCGTCTCCCCAGGACTTCAGAGTCCATTTCTTAATGCCAGTTATGAATCCAGCCCTTCCCAATCTATGCTAATTCAAAGCTCAACTTTCTGGTCTATTTAGGGAGTACCTTATTTTGGCAATTCCTCAGTCACCTCTTTTCTTCCCTGGTCCCCAGATTCCCACCTTCCCAGTCCTCTTGACTCTGTCCTCTCTCTCACTCCTCTTGGGTTACAAATCCAGAATGTCAGCCTCTATGGTCTTCCCCTCAGTAAACACCAACTCTCCCCATAACCTTTCTCTCTTTAGCAGTAAGGGATGTCCCCTCTGCTGTCCCCACCACACCACTTGCAATCCCAATCTCCCCCCATCCCAGGTTTTATGCTGTGTGCTTTTACCTGCTCATGCTGGTCATGGTAGAAGGCTTTGGTGGTAAGGAGGCAGTATTGAGAGCTCTGAAGGACACCCCAATGAGGGTTCATACAGGCCCCTGCTGCTGTTGCTGCCCCTGCTGTCCTCCACTCTTGCTCACCAGGTAAGGCAGAAGGGAGAGGCATCCTGAAACAGGTGAGCATCCTCTTTCTACATCCCCTCAAGAGCTTCTTTTGGCTCTGTAGCTCTCCTTCAAGGTTCTTAAAGTTAGTCTTGTATAGGACAAAGCCAGTGATAAAGGGGTGGGCATCCCACATCCAGGACCCACAATGGGCATCCATTCCCCAGAAAAAGAAGGAAGGCTCCTAAACTTCAGTCCACTTCCCCACAAACTTTAACCATAGAGAGAGAACTGGACTTTGGGCCATTTACTTGCCCCCTTCTGCCCATTTTGATTACTAGTTTGAGGTAAACACTGCGTTTTGATCATTCTTGCTCAAAAAGCAGAATTCTAGCCTACAGATAAATGGGAGGCAAGGAGAGTTCCCAGTGCTCTCAATCCCGGCTTCTTCCTGTATCCCCATCCATTTTAGTATCTGTGTCATCTGTCTAGCTTCAGCCCTGGAGCCCAGTGAGGAAGTTGGCAGGTCTTGAGGTGCGTAGTTTGTGGGTTCATCTTCCTAACCCTCTTCCCTCCTCAGAAAGAAGCTTCAGCTGCTAATATTGGGCCCTTTCCAATATGCCTTCTTCAAGATAACACTGAGCCTGGTGGGACTGTTCCTCATCCCTGATGGCATCTATGATCCAGCAGATGTAAGCCAGGAGTAAGGGGGTAGCAAAGTCCAAGACTCATTTAGTACTCTTGAGCTCTAGAAATAGCTGGAGCCAGCATCCTCTGATACAGGGCCTCAGGGTCAGGATGGCTGTGGAAAAGTAGAGGCTCAGGGATCTGAGAGGGAGAGATGAGACTGGAATAGGCCAAGGCTTTGGGCTTTTAAACAACTTTCCTCACATGGGAGGGGAGAAATAAAAGGAGAAAAAAGCTTGCCTCCCCCACTGACTATTTTCTGGTCTGCCAACAGATTTCTGAGAAGAGCACAGCTTTATGGATCAACACTTTACTTGGTGTGTCCACCTTGATGGCTCTCTGGGCCCTGGCCATCCTTTTCCGTCAAGCTAAGCTGCACCTGGGTGAGCAGAACATGGGAGCCAAATTTGTTCTTTTCCAGGTAACTATGCCTTGGGGAGGGAAAAATATTTGAGGCTGGCTTTGAACTCTTGATCCTCCTGTCTACAGATGATTGGGGTTAGGAGGTGAGACTACAGGCTAAAAGCAGCACTGAGGATCTTCCTCTTAAACTGTGGGTTCCCTGTGGGATTCTCTTAAACTGTGGTCTTTCCCCTCCTTTTTTATTTTAATACATTTTAATACCTTTATTTTATTTTTATATGGTGCTGAGGATCAAACCCAGTGCCTCACATGTGCTAGGCAAGTGATCTACCACTGAGCCATAACCCCAGCCCCTCCCCTCCTTATTTTATACCTTTCTGTGCTATAGTAGTCTCTTAGGGTAGCTATAACAAAATACCACAAACAGGTGGCTTAAAACAACAGAAATGTATTGTCTCAGGGTTCTGGAGGCCAGAAGTCCAAAATCAATGTGTCAACAGGGCCACACTCCTCTGAAACCTGTCAGGGAGAACCTTGCACCTATCCTCCTCTTCTCTGATGGTGGCCAGCAGCTGCATCACTCCAGTTTCTGCCCCCACCATCACATGATGCTCTCTCTTCATGTGTCTAGTGTCTCTTCTGTTTTTATGACACCAGTCCTATTAGATTAGGGGCCCACCCTATTCCATTATGACCTCCTCTTACCTAATCACCCTATCATGTCACACTCTGGGGTACTGAGATCAGTACTTCAACATATCTTTTGGGCAGACACAATTCAACCTATAATACATGTATTATAGAACCCTTAAATTTTTTTTCTACCAATTACTTCCTAAAGTCTTATAATCTGTCAATGCCACTAACAGTAGCATTATTACAGCTATAACTATTAATTACTCCACACCATGTATATTACATGTAACTTTTCACAGTAATCCAGAGCTCATTAACATTTCTGTTTTACAAAGCAGGGCACTGAGACCCATAGGTGTGATGAGGCTTGCTCAGGGGCAAATGAGGGATGGAGCTAGACTCCAGGTCTAACTCCCAAGCCCACATTCCTTCTTTTCATCACACTGCCTCTTTATTTTAAAACCTCTTCCGAAAATTCTCTGAAAGACACATTTATTCACCTCTTCTGATTTTTTTTTACCCCCAAGTGTCCATCAGTTATTAAGGAAATAAGTTCTTGTTTCTTGTGAGCAACTCTTATTAAAATATTGGATAGAAGGTGAGATTGTAACTTGCTAAAGATTAAAATTCCATAAATATTTCATCAAGTGTGAATCTCAACCCTCTTAGCTATACAGATCTAATGGTGGGCCAAAACCATAATGGAAGGACAAGTCCTAGCTTCAGCAACCTGGCTGGCAAGCCCCTTCCACCCATCCCCTCTCTTCTGTTTTGTAGATGCTTCTCATCATGACTGCCCTGCAGCCTGCCATTTTCTCCATATTGGCCAATGGTGGACAGATTGCTTGTTCACCTCCATTTTCCTCTAAAACCAGGTCTCAAGGTAAGCATATACGGGCTCCTATCCCATTGTGAGATGGATGAGATAGGAGAGGGTTAGGAAAAGAGAAGATCTCGGACAAGAGGTTAGGCCAGCCTGACTTCTCAGAAAAGAGGTCTCCAATAAAATAAATCTGGGCAGAGGCTTTGACTAACCTCATTAATCACACAGAGAACTGCAGTTCCACAGCTTGAGACTAGCCCTGATGGCTAATACAGGAAGCCATGGGTTTAACGTCTAACTCCTGGGAGAGGAATGAGAGTGAGTTGAATGTAGGTCATACTGATTAACACATAAGTATGAGCATTAGATCACAGAAGGTAGAGAGCCAAGTCTGATTCTAGTTCTACCATTAATCTACTTTGATGCTTATGACAGTATCTCTATGTCCTGGTGTGGGGATAAATGGGAGAAACTTGCTTAACTCAGACACCAGACTGTAAGTGGGATATCTACCACCTTTAAAACTTAGCATAACCAATGTTATATTTCATCTCACACTGCAGTGATGAATTGTCACCTCCTTATACTGGAGACTTTCCTGATGACTGTGTTGACACGAATGTACTACCGAAGAAAAGACCACAAGGTTGGGTATGAAACTTTCTCGTCTCCAGACCAGGACTTGAACCTCAAAGCCTGAGGAGAATGGCTTGGACAATGATGGGGAGAGATGCTGTACGCATTTGGAGAACATGAGATTTCTTTGCTGTCCCTCACCTTCACCAAATGGGAAAGAATCTCATTGTCAGCACAAGCTAACGGATTACATTTGACTATAGAGATGAAGGCAAATTATGCAGTAGAATGAAACTGTTTTGGATATTGCCCAGGAAAGGTATTTTAAGTTTTGTAATAAACAGGATACAATCTGAAACTCTGTAACTACTAGGCACATTGCCTCTGTGGATGCCACTAATTATTAACCCTGAAAATTTGTATGCTGAAAGTTCACTCTGAATTTTTTCAAAGCAGAAGAGAGGAGGAAGAATATACAGTTGTTGTTTGATATAATAACAGGAGAAGACCTTGGCTGGGCAATATAACCCAACATCTCAAAGAAGCCAGGCTTCCAGTGAATGGTTGGAAGGTTTTCTTTCAGTTTTTTGTGCCAATTAGCAAAAGTAATCACCTGATAATATTGTCAGGAAGCTTGATTTTAAGGAGAGAGATTAGGACTCAAAAGCAAAAGAAATGAGAATACAAGTAAAACCCCCAAATACATAAAACGTCACACACAAATATATCAGGTCAAAAACCCAGGAAATGGAACACTCATGTAAAACCACATTGTCTTTATTTGGCTATATGACAAAAGCCAAAATAACTGAACAAGTTAATAATAGACAAGAAGATGATATACTGAACCCCGACTGAGGAAAACCTCTCTGCAGACTCACAATGGTAATGGCGTGGATATTCATGCCAAGACTGATAGTTCTTTCCAAGATTTTTTTTGAGGATTCTTAACACAAAACTTCCAACCAATCAATTCTCAGTGTTCAAAATTGTCAGCGCCTCCCAAAAGAGGGTAGAAGGCCCACTTCAAATGTAAAGGGACACAATCTGAGTCATCTTAATGTTAAACCTGGAGCTTTTCTTTCTACCCTAATCTGAATACTAACATAAAACTTTGGCAGATAGAAAAATCTTTTAAGAAAATTAACAAAGAGTATAATCCCAAGAACACATTCTATTTATTTGGAAAAATAGAAGCTAGGGACTACTTTTTATCCCTTGACAATCTATGAGAGAAAACAGAACAGTTATTATGACTGTGAAAAATATAACCTTTAAAAATACTCATATTGGTAAGCTTAAAAAAAATACCATTCATTTTTAAAACACTGTTAAGGGAGGTTTTATTGTTTGTTTGTTTGTTTTAAATCTGTATTGGCTCAACTTTTTAAAAAATATTTTTATTAGTTATTGATGGACCTTTATTTATTTGTTTATATGTGGTTCTGAGAATCTAACCCAGTGCCTTACACATGGTAGACAAGTGCTCTACCACTGAGCCACAACCCCAACCCCACTGGTTCAAATTTTGGTAAGTATATGCGAGCAAAAAATCTGGAGGGTATGGCTTTTAGAGAATTAAAGAAAAGCAGCAAAAAATTTGGAAAGATTTTAGGTAAGAGATGTAAAACAGGATTAAAAAGGCAATGAACTCCAGAAAGTAATTTACCCAACAAGTGAAGATAACCCAGAAACAAAGTCCTGGGGGAACCACTGTAGAGGGTCATCCTAGGGAGTGCCTGAATAGCTGTGTGGCCACAAGTAAAGTAACTCAGATGCTGCCTAAATTATCAGCAATCAAAAAGAGTTTAAAAAGTTTCTCAATCTCCCTCATATTTTCTTTTCTCTCTCTCTCTCTCTTTTTTTTTTTTAACTACTACTACTTCAGGATTTTCAATTCTTACATCCCCAACCTTCTTATTCAAGCCTCGGCAGAGTAAGGGTCATTGGCTTTAGCTATCAGAAGCAGCTGCAGCAGTACAAATGTCCATTTATGTTCCTTTAGTTTTCACCTCTATTCTAAGCTTAGCATGTGAAAATAGCAAACTTTCTGTTCAAGACCCTCAATGTAACTGCTGAAATGGCTCCTCCTTCATCATCAGCTTGTCTTCAGCCTCCTTTTATCTTGTAGACAAGCTTTTGAGGCCAATCATCTTTTGAGGCTGTCTCATCTTTGCCACATTTGGTTCATCAGGGCTTACTGCTTTCTTGTGTGGAATTTGGGGAAATAGCTCCACAGACTCAAGCATTCATATTTGAAGAACTACAGATCATAGGCATAACCTCATTTAACTGGAACAAATGCACAACAGTGAACCATTCCAACAGCATCCTTCTCCAGCACCTAGGATTACAGTTACCCCAAAGTATCTAACATGCCACATCTTAAAAGTTTTTGTTTTCAGTCCAATTATTGGAATATGCTAGTGTCTGGAGACTAAGGTAGTAAAGGGGCAAAGGAGCCTTCTAACATATGCACAAGCTGGCTTAGCAGTGGCACAGACATGTCAGCCCAGAGGCCCTATTCTATGCCAAATGTAGTCCACTGAGAGCAAGGATCACTTAAGCTTTGGGGTTTAGACAATATTCCTGAGAGAACTTCAGGAAGGAAAATCTCATCATGGACATTTATCTCCCCTTCCATTCCTGTATACTTGGGGAACATGTACACTGAGAGAACAAGTAGGTGGGTGTCAGCAGGGACTTCACAGTCCTTCACACTACCTTTCTATACCAGGGAGAATAAGGCAGAGCAAAAACGGTGGAATTCCCAGAGGGAAGACCAAAGCAGAAGTTAAAATATGATATCATACAAAGCTGCGAAATGTGGGAAAACATTAACTTCACTGTTCAAAGAAAGGATTCTAGGTCAAGGCTTGTGTGAATCAGATTTGATAATAAAAAATAGCACTTCATGAAAAGAGTTATAAATGTAGTTTCCATGGGCCATCAGGACAAGAGTTGGCCTCTCTTTGTCCCTCTCCTCTGCCATGTCCCACAGGTCTGGGTGATCTGAATTTATATGTCTAGGTTCCTGCTGTGTAGGCAGGCAATGATCTTAGCCTCTGGCCCTCAGGCAGAAGAGCAGTCTTCACCAGAAAGGGTTTAGAGAGGGGACTATGAGATGCTCACAGTCCTAGCAGAAGGGCAAGAAAGAGAAAATGTGGTTTTCTTTGTTGAAAACACTAAAACTCCACCCCCACAAGGGGTATTTTATGAGTGACAGGGGTGAGGTCTGGACATAAACATATCTTCCCCTTAATCCAGCTAGGATTACTGATGATTGATGGTCTGCTAGGTCAGGTAGTTGAGGAGAGAGATAGGATGCTAGGGGATTAAAAAAAATTGATCATGTTTTACAGCAAGTGTTATACATCAGCATTCTCTATTTGAAATTCAAGTGCTGAATTTCCACTGAGCATCCAAGCAGGAAAGATGGGGCAATAACCACCAGGCCCAGGTGGGAAAGATGAGAACCAACCACCCTCTTATAAAGCAAATCCATGCTGACAGCTTTCTGGAGGAGTGGTGAAGAGAAGTCCCTGCTAGTTGCAGCCCTCAGAGAAAAAGAAACACTCCATGGAGTATTGGTTCTAGTTAAGAACATTCTTAAGAGGGGCAGAGATCAAGATTAAGCTGTTGCTTTAGAAAAGAAGGTGTTTCCTTTTGCCTCTATGTTCTGTGCAAATCTAAGTATTTGACATGGAGTAAACAACATGGATTTACAAATCAAGTTCAAACTGCAGACATTTACAAAGCATCCTTTGTAAAAAAAAAAAAAAAAAGCTAACAGCATTGAAAATTGAAAAAGGAGTAGCAAGGCCAGAAATTTACTCCCAGCAGGAAATGAATTTAAACTGATATACAGAATTGAGTTTTGTCCCATTCCTCTCTCTAATCACAGTAACCCTCAAAGTTCCTGCCTTTAAAGGAAAGTTGCAGGAAAGAAACTGACAAGAACTCCCAAATTACTTGGCAACAGATTTTCTGAGAAGATGAACAGCAGAAAAACTGTAGTTGATACAACGTGGCTGGTTCCATCCCCATCAGTGTCTTCATGGACCCCATTGGGTCCAACAAGAAACTCCTCAGGGAGTAACAAAAGTTAGGCTCAGATCTCCTTCTTCCCTTAGCCATGCTGACATATGTGCCAGCAGTGCCTTTAGGGGATTTTTGTGACTAGCTCAATTTTTGCTCTTTTTTTGTAAGGAAACCAAAATTACAATATTCCTCCTAACCCCCAAACTGACCATCAGCATGGCTCACTGCTTGAAGGATTTAGCAAGCCACTTTGCTTCAGAATAGGAGGCAGACACTACAGTGTATCAAGAAGACAAGGCCTCTGGGTATTACACCACTACCTTCTTCTGCCCACTCCTCAGGGGCAAAAAATTAGTTCTACTTACTATATTTGAAAGACTAATTTTTAAAAAAATTAATAAAAATGACAATTTCCCTGTCAAGATCACATGAACATAAACAGTAAAACAGAGTCCTTGGGGAGAGTAGATGGATGCAAAACAGGCTTCTAAGATGTAGTCAACCTCCTCCTTGGTGTGGGTGATTGATGTCTCTTAGGAAATGGGCTATTTTGGTTCCCTCATTACCAGTTCCTCTTGCCCCAAATGTCTTTCCTTTGTAGCTGTCCTTAGGTTTAGTGTTGGGATCACAATGTGGAATTCAAGAGAGAGCTTCTGAAGGTGATGGGACAGAGGGGAGAGGAAAGGAGGAATGAAAAGTTAGTCTTCTTCATCCTCACTGATATCATAGGCTGCAGCCTTGTGCCTAGAGAGATTTGCTGGGGAGGAAGACGGGGATGTCTTGCCAGAGAAGGGCCATCTGAAGGAGGGGGAGGGGGACCGTTCACGAGTAGGGCTGCTGCTCGGACTCTGCTTTGGGCTGATGGCCTGTAGCATCCGACCTTTTCCCTCTTTCAGCATATGTTTCTGGGGAGACCAAAAGGAAGAGTTAGAAGATATTTACGAATCCTACTAAATCACCACTGGAAAATCTGAGACTTTGAATTATCATGAGTGCTTCCTGCATTTGTGGGGGTGGGTGGGTACTGAGGATTGAACCCTGGGCCTCATGCATGCTAAGTGTAAAGTGCTCTACCACTGAGCAACACCTAGCCCCTGCAATGTTAAACATGACTGAACAAACAAGAGGAGGGACATAGATACAATTCTAAGCAACTTCTTCCCTAAAGTGGCCTATGCTAGTCTATTAATTTAAAAGTTTCCATGAGCTTTCCAATGTCACCAAATCCTTGCCTTCTATGTCAAAAGGTTCTTCAAAGGTTACTTAGTTTATAGTCCTATTCTAGAAAATCCCATTTCCTTCCCAAATACCCACATAGTCAGATCTTTCCTGATGTCTAACCTAGCAACACTTGCTGAATCTTTTGCTTTGTTTGAAAAGATTCTGCTGTTCCTCAGAGACAGAAGGCCCACTTCACCCAGGATCCCATAGCATTTTTTATAGTGAAGGCAGCTTTCTTTTTACTGTTCTTTATTCTTTCCTTTCCTTACACTTAAAACTATAATGTAGAAGTAAGCTGGGCAAGGAGACTTGCTTGTCTTGTCACCAGATTTCAAGATTGAAGGCTGATAAAATTATTTAGGAAAATGTGTAACTTCTTTCTGTAAAGATTTTGAAGAACTATTTGTGGAATAGTTGAAACCCAGATAAAGGGAAACAGATTAGATATGTTCTTAATGTTGAGGTCCCTTTCTGTTCAAGGAATCTTTCCACATTGAAATTCCCTGAATTTCCCCAAATCGTCCAGTGGGAAAGAACCATACCAGTGCTCCTTCCGGACCAAACATTTCCAGGAAACTTCCAATGAATTCTCGGGACTTCTCCTCCCATTTCTGGATAAGGTCAATGCTTTTTTCCTCCACCTTCTGAACAAATTCTTTTGACTTTTCCTCCACATCTTTCACTTTCTTCTTTACTTTGTCAACACGCTCCTGCAAGTGGTATTTCTTCTCCTAGGCAAAGAAATAACTATTTTGAGGAATAATACTCATCCTGACCTTCCCTACCAGAAGAAAAAAAAAATGGCTCCTATATGCTTTTCAATCTTTAGAATTTACCCTATACTTCTTTAGCACAATAACAGAAAAGATATACTCCTAAGTTTCCAGGACTAAACAAAGAACTAAACTAAACTTACATGAAAGGCCCAGTAACAAACAGGCATGTAGCCAAAAGAAGTCAGGTTTTTTTTTTTTTTTTAAAAAGATATAACCAAAACTTATACAGGCTGCAAAACGATCATTGCACAAAATTGCCAAGAATAAGCCAATTATAATAGATTGGAAGTGGAAGTACTAGTACTAGTACTAATGTATTATTTTTCCATCACTGGCTTATTCTGTGATTTTAGATGAGTTGTGTGTTTCATCTTTTAGTATTTAGAGGTCCATTTGCTCATTTGCAAAATGAAGCTGATATTCTTTGTCCTACCAACTTTCCTAAAGACAAGGGAAAGTGGTATAAATCCTTTGGTAGAAGGGGAGGAATATTGAGTCAAATAAAATTGTATCCTCCTAATTTATAGATCATAAAAAAGAAGGAGAAGTGATGAGATATAGCTCAGTGGTAGAGCATGTGCTTAGGTACACAGGCCCTGGTTTAATAAGAAGAAAAACAAGAAGAAAAGAAAGAGGAGAAGAAAGATAGTATGTTTAGGGTTGTTAATGGGTGTTTTGTTTGTTTTGTTTTGTGGTATTGGCAATGGAACCCAGAGCCTCACATATGCTAGGCAAGTGCTCTACCAATGAGCTACATCCATTGCCCCATAGGATTTTTAAACACTTTGAGTTGTGAGAAAATAAAGATTCTATAACAGATTAATTAATAAGTAGCTAGGGTCCAGTTGTGCAGATAAATTATGTTCAGTTGAAACCATTTCACCTCTTATAGCATAATTCACAGAGCTGGGAGCAGGTGAGGAAGCATGGTCAATTGATAATACAGAAAATATAGTTAGTAGCTTTCTTCTTTTTAAATCAACTTAATTGAGACAAAATTTATATACAAAATACATGGTGTTTCTGAAGGGCAAAAAAGATAAACTTAAGCTTTCATAAGTTAAAATTTAAGAGTTGGGCATGGTGGCACATGGTGGCACAACAGTTTGGGAAGCTAAAGCAGGAGGATCTTGAGTTCAAATCCAGCCTCAGCAATAGTGAGGCACTAAACAACTCAGTGAGATCCTGTCTCTAAATAAAATTCAAAATAGGGCTGGGGATGTGATACAGCAGTAGAGAGCCCCTGAAGTTCAATCCCTGGTACAAAAACAAAACAAAACTTGGGTCCATGTGGGAAAATTACATGCAGAATGTTGTATGTCACTATCTACACAGGGAGAAGATCTATAGTTTTCATTAGATTTTCAAAAGAATATCCAATCAAAAAATAAAAAGGTGAAGAGCAACTATTTTAAATGTATTATTATAAAGAGTGTACTATGTGTTACATATTTTTATTTAATTTGCTGTATGTCCTTACATCAGTATGTTGAAATTGAGCCATTAAGGCAGAAGCTGCTTCTTTCTTAGTTTGTGAAAAGGTTAGCATGATGTTTTCTGTAAAATGGCATTCATTAGCTTTGGACTGTGACAATTACAGAAGACTGAAAAGCAAGTTCAGCTTAGATGACAACACATGTGTCCTATAGAGCCAAGGAACTCTGAAATGAGGTTGAAACTCACATTGATAAAGCTGACGTTGAGCTCCTTTGCTGTATAGCCCCTCTGTAGGTTCCGTCGAGCATACACATCATAGTCTCGGACAATTCGGGTGATGATGTCTGATGTGGAGATACCTTCTGTCCTCTGTGTTGGAGCAAACATGCCTAACTCAAGAACACATACAGACAAACACTATGAAGTTCCAGTATACTCAGAAAGAGGACTAGATGGAAATTGGAAGCAACACTTCTGTCCTTTCCTCAAAAAAAGCAGACTCCATTATTACTAAGTGAAATCTAGAGATATTGGCATATAGATGAGGGACTGAATCAAGAGCCAAGCATAAGAAAAGGAGGAGTTACATGGCCCTAAAATTAAGAAAATTATGGGACTACTTGAACTTGAGATTAAAATTCAGAAATTTAGAGCAAGAATTGATGAATGTCAGTGCTATGTTCACCTTTATCTTTTATCCAAAGTGTGACTTGAAAGAGGATGTTGAATTTCTTTTGTTTTTTGGTACCAGGGATTGAACCCAGGAGCCATATCCCCAGCCCTTTTTTGTACTTCACTTAAAGACAGGGTCTCACTGAGTTGCTTAGGGCCTTGCTAAACTGCTAAGGCTGGCTTTGAACTCAAAATCCTCCCGCCTCATCCTCCCAATGCTGGGATTATAGGCATGCACTACCACGCCTGACTAGGATGTTGAATTTCTTAGTGTGCAAACTTTCCTCTGAAAAGTAGTGATGTGGCTGAATCTCTGAAGGCTGAATCTGCTCAAGAACCCATAAAGTGAGGATGTACATCAGCTTACTCACCTGCTTCTTTAATGTGCTTATAAACATCATCACTCCCAGCAGAAGAATAAGGGATATCATCATGGGCTACAAAATCAATCTGAAAATAAGGAACCATCATTTAAAATCCAGAGTAGCTACTATTCAGAGATACCCTGTAAATATTCCTAGGCTTAGAAAAAGGACAATAAGCAGAGGCCAGGCCTCAGATGGGCTTTTTATTATCTTTTTTTTTTTTTTTTTTTTTGCTGATAAATTCTACAATCCATTCACAAGCTACACAACCTAACTATTTATGGATTATAAATAAAAAATTAGCTAGTTTCTTTTCTAGCTGCTTTCCATGTTCTACTAGAAGTGTCACCTCTCTCTGTACACCAATCACCATCCTGTGATCAGTGGGGAGGAGGATTTTTTGGTGAGCTAGTTAATGGGTAGAGTTTTAGAAAAAAGGAAATTTTCCTATCCTCCTGAGTCTACAAGGATTGTCAAATAAGGGTTTCTAATAGAGGTCACTTCTTTGTCAACTGGCTTCTCTCTCAGTTCATGAAAAATGAAGAAATATAAAAATAGCAACCAAGAGCCTTTTACTGAAATAAATATATTTGTACTACTGAGAAATGCAAAACCCAGAGCTATAAAAGAACTTTTAGGTCTCAGGATCTATCATTTTACTACTGTCAATACCCTTTGCAAGAGTAGAAAAAAATTAATGACAATGGGATCAATAATCCTTTAGAGACCCGTGCTAAACTTCACTTATTTATTCCTTCCTGAATAGGCCTGAATAATGTAATTACCATGCCGCTATACTAAACTCCCAGAAGCCACTACCGTTTGAAGCATGTTCATCAGGACTCTCAGCTAACATCTCAATTACCCATGAACAACTTGTAAGGAGTCCAGAGGCACCAAAGTAAAGGATGGAGGGCAAAAAACCCTCATGATTGAGATACACTAAAAAGGAGAAAATGGAAGTTGGAAGTTTCCCTAACTCCATACTTCCACCTGGGCTTGCTCATCATCTTTGTTGCCACTGGCTATTAGGTTTTAATACAGGAAAACTAGAGAACTATAAAAGGTCTGTCTTAATCGCATCTATTTCTAATAAATACCTCTTGCCCCAGACCTACCCAAGTATTGCTTAAGGAGCACTTTAGCTACTTTTGTTCTTTCCTGTTTCACTGAATAATTCACCTGCTACATTATGCATACTCCTGTAGAGAACTGACAATATATTTTCTGGTTCCTCCAGGTTGAGGGCCTCCAATCTAGCCTGATAAATCCTTCTAATCTTTTACAGCCATCCTTTTGTAGGAAACCTGTTGCTTTAATACAGGATAATGTAAAAGGAGGTATGGGATTTTATAACTCATTACATGAGATAAAATGAGAAACATCCCTGATTTTTGATCCCACACAATTTCTAGCTCAAAATCAAAGACCTGAAACTAAATTTAAGTGAACCTGAGAGAAGTCTATATAAATCTGTCTTATTTCCTGGAATGTGAACCTCTTGAAAGCTCAGCAGGGGCTATAGGTATTTTGAAGAGTTTGGTATGCTATAAGGGCAGATACACCCACAGTGGTGGTAGATGAGGACATCACATAACTGAAGAGTACAATTACAGCCCTACTAATGGTGTAACCTTGAGCAGGTTTATTTGGTTCTCAGGACCTTGTTTCTTTCTTTTTTTTTTTTTCTTTTTGTATTTTTATTATTTTTTAGTTACAGGTGTACACAATAACTTTATTTTTTATTTTATGTGGTGCTGAGGATTGAACCCAATGCCTCACGCATGGTAGGCAAATGTTCTACCTCTGAGCCACAACCCCAACCCAGGACCTTGTTTCTTATATATAAAGGGGAAATAAAAACCACCCTACAAGACTGTTGTGGGGAACAAAATGGAATATAATGATTATAAAAGTGCTTATAAATCATCAAGCCCCATATAAATGTCAGGGATGAATACTATTGTTAGTAATATTACTAACAATGTAAAACTTACACAGAAGGTGCAAGTAAAATAGGGCTAGTGGAAAACTAGCTCAAGTGCCTTGAAAGTGGAAGGCATTCTGGAACAAGGAATGGAAATGTGCCCCATTTCTTACCCGGTGTTCTGCCAGGAACTCAGGTGTCAGGGTCCAAGGGGCATTCCTTACTACCTCATCCACATAGCGACAGTGCTGCACTGCATCATAGCGCTCATTCTCATTCATCACCGTGAAGCCTTTAAAGTTGTGTGTTAGCTCATCACTGCAGACTGGGTCATAGCATCATAAAGTTGTAAGCCAAGATTCCCTTTGCTTAACCCTCCTAAGCCACCAACCTCTCCCACCTTTTCCCACTTCCTAGCACTGCAACCATCTGGGTAGCAGTGCTTTTCCTAATATCATGCTCATGCTTTGGAGAAGAGGGTACAGCCTGTGTATTTCTGCATCAATCAAGTTCTTAAATATGTCTCCCTGTTTTATTTGTATAAGACCAGACTGGCCCACCATTGTACTTCATTGATTAAAAGAAATGATAAGCTGAAATCTAGAGCAAATGCTGTTCTTAAGTAGGCAACTGAGGTCAGTATTGCTCCCATGACTACAGAAACTCAACTAAAAACAGTGAGATAAATACTGGACATCTCAAGTTGATGAGAGTCTCACAGACTTCATGTTTTAGAGAGACTGTATTATATTCTTTATTTAAAAACTGAAAAAAGGTCTAATGTACATGGAAAAAAAGCAAATAAGATTACTATGATTTTCTGAACAGCATCTAAAGTGATCATCAAGTGTTTTCTTACCTCCCACAATGAGGTATGTATTAGGGAAAAGGTTCTTTGCTTGCATCAGAGCCCGGGCATGACCAGAGTGAAATAAGTCGAATATTCCATCTGCATAGACTCTCACAGGCCGCTCACCTGAATCCAAATAAAAGAATCATCAAAAAATATATTTACTCAATATCTCCTATTTGATGAATGAAATTGGTATTCTGTGACCATTCCTCTCTGCATAACCCTCTCTTTTAAGTGTTCTCTGAGTATTCACCCTGATTTGGTGGGTAAATTGGAGCTATGAGAAACAACATCAATGAATCCTTTCTTAAACCAACTCAGATGCTCCTCTTGCCCACTTCAAGTGTTTCCCCAGTCTTCTGGCATCTCAGTTCCCTAAGTCCTAACCTTAAGTCTTTGATAAACCCAGGATGTTATACTAGTCATGTGGTTCAGAAGGTATTGAATTAGTCTGAAGATAACTAGCAAGAGTTAGCCATTCTTTACCAAGTAGCTGTTGAACAGGTAAACCTTACAATCTTTGATTTGTAACCGTTGTTTCCAGCATGTTAGTAAGAGTAACACCTGTCATTCTCAAATTTCCCCCCATTACAAATTAGATGAATGCAGTACTACTGGAAAAATTAACCAGATGTCCTTCTTTAGGCAGAAAAAAACCTGGGTTTCCATTTATTGTCTTTTTTGAATCAGCTACTTGATTATTTAACATAAAACAGAACAGACAGAAAAAGATTTTAGAAGAGTAACAAGCGGTCAAATAAAGACTACCAAACTTCATAGTCTAAATTGCAACAGTTTGTTCCACCTAAAAGTCACTTTCTAAAGGCCTTATATTGTTTATAACTAATACTCTGCAAAGAGTAACATTATTCTAGGGTAAAAAGAACACAAGGGCCGGGCACAGTGGCACCTGCCTATAATCCCAGAGTCTTGGGAGGCTGAGGCAGGAGTGTCAGGTCGATGCTGGTGACTTAGGAACAAAGCACCAAGCAGCCAGTGCCCACAAAAGAACCACCAATCAGGCGCTGATGGAACCTCTTTGTCAATCACCAGGGTCTCCTGGCCAATCCTGGATCTTAGCCTGCTCCCCTGACCCACCCCAGTAGGACAAGGGACTCTTAAAGCCCCTTTTCCTGTACTAAGCCCTCCTCTTCTGCCCTAAGCCCATAAAAATTCCAGTCCGGTCCAGCCCCAAGCATGCCTCTTCTCAGACCCTCTTCTTACCTGCTCTGTCAGTATAAGATAGTTCCTCCTGGGAGCGAAATCTCAAAAAAGCCTCAATCACAGGCCTTTTTAAATCTGCCTCCTTTTGGCCGCTGTGATTGCCTGACCTTACAAGGAGGATCATGAGTTCAAAGCCAGCCTCAGCAAAAGCAAGGCACTAAGCAACTCAGTGAGATCCTGTCTCTAAATAAAATACAAAATAAGGCTGGAATGTGGCTCAGTGGTCGAGTACCCCTGAGTTCAATCCCTGGTACCAAAAAAAAAAAAAAAAAAAAAACACAAGGGTGGAAAGATTTAGACTTCTAAAGAAGTCTATCTCTGTTCTGTCTCTTAAACAAAACTTGCTTTCTATGCTTGCATTGGCATTTCTCAGATGTTTAATCCCCCAATAATGGGGGAAACAAGGACAGGACCCAATCCTGATTTCCAAGACTGGTATTAGATGGGGGTGGGATCATCACTGAGGTAAGCTCCTCTGTACCTCACATCTGAAGAGAGCCTTTTCTGTCTTTCTTTCTTTCTTTTTGGAGGACGATACTGGGCACCTGTCAGCTAGTTAAATGCAAGCTGTGGCTTTGGTGACTCCTAATTACTTGTCCTGCAGGTCAGGCATATTGGGTTCTTCCAAAGCCATTCTCGCTGTCCTATCCAGACATGGGGAGTGTCTGGCATCAGTAGACAGCCATCCAAAATATGTTTTGCCTTTGGTTATGCACAGATGAACAAAGGGGTGAAACAACTATGAGATTCTGGACAAGGCTACTCCCCAGTGAATCTCAAAGTTTCTCCTCCAGCCTCCTCTTCTTACAGCCCAAGGGGTATCCTACTGTGACTGGTCAATCGTGGTACTGAGCAAACACCCCAGTAACACATGTACTCTCCTGGGCTCCTTCCTCTAGATCACTCCCCTCCCCTTACTGATCAGACCCAGCCATTGATAGAAGAGCCATTTTACGTGGAGTGGTTTGTAAGGTATAGCCTGGGTTCCCTTTGTTCGCATATAAGCCTTTATAAACCTGTAGGGATTCTCCCAATTGTTATTTCTGTGCTCCTGTGTGCCTCCCTAGCTTCTTTGGCTGCAAAAAACGAGATTCAAATCCACACCCTTTTCAATTTACCCTTGGCTTAGATTCCTCAGGGGAAAAGATGTTAAGCATCTAACAACCATTAGATATCTTCCTTAACCTTTGAATGTTCTTCTAGCCCACAAAGCAGAGGAACATACCCCACTGTAGGTCAGGGTTTTTTTTGTTTGTTTTTTTGTTTTTAATTTTTTCCTCATGGGTCATCACATTTGGAAGTTTAACAGTGGCAGGAGGGAATCAGTCATGGCTGCTAAGTCTGAACCCCCCAAGGTCTTTGACATACACCAAGCAGAGACCCTTGTTTATTCTTGCTGGTGAGAAAGCAATAAATCCAGCAGAACCAGGTAGTGAGAGTGGGTTTTTCTGACCTTCAGAAGCTCATTTAGAGAGATGTCCCTAATAAAACGGACGGACAGCTTTCTGTGGCATAGGACATGAGTTCTGTTTTCTGCCACTCAGATGGGAGCTTCATTCTCAACAGTTATGCCAGGTTCACCACTAGCCTGCACACTAAACACTGGGATAAGTTTGATCCACAGACGCTCAAGAAAAAGTGCCTCATTTTCTTCTGCTGTCAGGCCTGGGAGATGATCTAATCATAGATAGAAAAAGGAGATGTCGAATAATTTTCTGCATCCAAACCTGGCCTGATTACCAACTGGGGGAATGTCCAAAGAAACATAAACTCTAGCACTACAACTTAAAGGATTGATTTTACAAAACAGAAAAAAAAAATGGTTAAAGTGCCCTCCCTATATATTAGGTTTTGCCTTTTAAGCTTTTTGGCTTTCTGTCAGATGTCTCTCTCTCCAAGAATTGCATCTGAAAGCTACAGAGGCAACTATCCAAAACTAGTTTAGAGACCAAAAAGATGTCACTTTTAAATTGAAGTCACTGTATCTGTTCTTGCACTCTACCATCCTGTACCAAGTTCCTCCCTAAATACTACAGCACATGGAATGATCTCATATATAAGTCTTCTTTACCTTTAGAATATATAATTTTTTAAGCACTCTACCACTGAGCTACAACCCCAGCCCTGGCCTTCCCTAAAGTTATATCATAATGTAAAAGTTTAATAGGCTCTATTTTAATTTCTAACAGGTTAAATCTAATAGAGGCTTTAATAAACATTTGTAGCATTGTCTCCTATCTGAAAATCTACCTGCAAAAAGCTACAAGATCTTTGTTTCCTGCCTGTGTTATGTATGTGTGCACACCTCTGTATTGTATTGTTGTGTCTACATATGTGCTTGTGTCTATATACATGTACATGGTATCAAAACTGACATATAGATATGTGAGTACTCATAAATTAAAATTTACATGAGAAATGGATCTAAATATCTTTTAGTTCATAGGACTTAAAAAAAGGAAGTTCAATTTAAATTAGGTAAACAGAGTAAAGATGTCTTTAAAATGACTAACTTACAAGTTTTTCTAGGTGATTAAGACAATTAACAGAGTGTCGTTTCTATAAATATCTAGAATGTAATATACATTGCTTCTGTGAATTTTCTTCAACAGGGAAGAGATGGTCAATACTGTTAACTACACTTGTCTGATATCTTGGTTTCTACAGTTAAAAATAAGTAAATTATATTTAGCATAAATGGGATTAATCTTCATAAATGTATTTGAGAGATGAGATATCTGATCAATTTACAAAGTTAAAATGCTAAAACATCAACTGCTAAATATACCATCAAGTACTCTTAACTTCTTTAATTCCAAAAGTAATATTTAAATGTCAAATGTGTTTTCATAAATTGGCAAATGGGAAAAGGCTTAAGGATTTCTTTGTTTTCACTAAAAACAAGATTACTAAGAGTTAAGATTCTAACAGGTGTAATTTTATATACAAAGTACAAGAGGTTTCAGTTGTATTTCAATTGAAGTACTGTAAAAAAAAGCAAATGTATTTCAACTTATTAAAATGGAGTCATTTATCTAAATTCAGAAATTTCATGAGGATTGTTTCAGAATGTAAATTTAATAAGGGGTCAACAACTAGGAGAGAGAGATAAGACAGTTCTAGGTATGGAAATATATTTTAGTATGGAAAGTAGAAGAAAAAAAGAAATGTTTCTGAATGAGAAAGTCTTTGTATGGTAAAGTAAAAAGTTGTAGAATGTCTAAGTTGAACAAGGTTTGTGGAGGGTAAGTCTCAAAGAGTTTATGTATGACTAAGTTGGCTATAATTAGCACAATCAATTAAAAGTTAATTTGAGTTTTTCCTAAGGTAAAATATTAATGTACTGATATAAACCAAAGTTTAACCTCTATGTGTTAAAGTAACAAGGATTTGTTAAAACATTAATCTGTTCTAATCCAACAAAATAATTTCTTTTGTCTGTTAAGTTTTATTATTTAGTGAAACTATCTTAAAGGAATTGGGATTTGTAAAACTCTGGTTAAACAACTTTAATTTTAGAGTATTACACTACAGATTCTAAATTGATCTTTAAAAGTTAAACTCGGTTAACGTAAGAACATCAGTATAATTGTGACACTGTTACTGGTCCCTTTGTATACTAATGTAGTCATATCTTCCAAGTATACAAATCTTTAAAATATAAGGCTTAGAAGAGCATTTTACAAAGCTGGTGCTCTTCAAACTAAAGTTTGAAGTAAAGGTTTGGGATTATAAAAACGATGTTTCTTGGTTCATAATATTATACAAACTAAATATTTTTTTACTCTTGTTAATTTCATTTTGTATTTTCCTTGTAAACTTTATAACTACTATCTGTGCTTTGCAGACATACAACTTCTAATATAACAGCCCAAGTTAATTTGAGATAACAGGCCATCACCCATAGAACAGACAGGATATAAGGCTAACTGACCCCAATTTAATGGAAGGGATAAATAACTGTAAAGTTATAGAATTTAGTTAAAACCCAGTACTCCTACTTTAAGACTGGTAAAACTGGTTTGCTAGATGTTTAAAACCAAAACTTGGAGACTAAAGTTAAGGAAGTAAAAGGACCAAAAAAGAAAATAGCCAATATTTGGCTCTTGCCTTCTGAGGTCAGCTTGAACCCAGGGAATGAAGGACTTCTCCATGGGGCTTTGCAACTCTGGGCCATATGACTTCCCGATGGATGGGGTCAAGGGGACCCCATAGAAGAGAAAGCCAACTAGTGCATATGCTGCAAAAAGGAGGGTCACTGGAGAAGAAAACATTCCTGATGTTTCCAAGGGAAACCACTACATGGTCAGCAAGACCTTGAACTATCTTGGCAGATGGTACTAGAGAAGGTAAGAGGCTTTTCCCAAGTTCCCAAGAGTGAACCCCAAAGGAAACTCAGATGACTCTTAATATATAGGAGCAACGTCAATTTGACCAGCTTGGTCTTAAATACCTGACAAGAGAGTTATAACCAAAGTTCAGTCATACTTGGACATTTAAAAGGAAAGACAATAGTTCTTTTTTTTTTTTTTTTTAGTTGTAGTTGGACACAATATCTTTATGTTATTTATCTTTATGTGGTGCTGAGGATCAAACCCAGGGCCTCACATGTGCTAGGCAAGTGCTCTTTGGCTGAGCCACAACCCCAGTTCCAAGACAATAGTTCTTTTAAAGTAACTTAAGATATACACTTGTGTCAGATCCATCAAAAGTAAGTAAAGCTGGAGGCTATAAAAGAAAAATTCTTAGGAGTGCTTGATAATTATCTAAAGAGACTATCAGAGTCAGAAGCTTTTTTTAGTTAATTTAAAACCTACCAATCTTCCCAGACTTAATCTGTGTTTGCTAGTATGATTATCTAGCCCTAAGTGACGGAAATAAAGGGATTTCTACTGAACACAAAGGTTATGCAAACAAAAAGGTATTTTTCAAAAGATGACATTAGATATCTTAATTATATCTTGTGGTGGCATCTGTGATATTATAAAAACTAAGTTGCCAGGTACGTGGCCCACACCTATAATCCCAGCAGCTCCGGAGTCTGAGGCAGGAGGATCACAAGTTCAAAGCCAATCTCAGCAAAAGTGAGGCGCTAAGCAACTCAGTGGGACCCTATCTCTAAATAAAATACAAAATATGGCTGGGGATGTGGCTCAGTGGTCCAGTGCCCCCAAGTTCAATACTCAGTTCCAAAAAAAAGAAAGAAAGAAAGACTAAGTGGTGTGATTTACATTCCTAAATTTACATTCCCAAATAGAGCCTATGTCCTCACCAGTCTTGTCATGGGAACAACTTCTTAGGCTCTTGCACCTGCTGGTGGAAAAACTACTGGTTTCTATCATCATCATTCATCATACTCATTGCTTTTGTATAAATCTCATTCCAGTACTCATGTCTTCTTGTTTCTCACACACAGCACCCACTTCCCAGATAATTTTACAACCTGTTCTTTTCAAGCCAGACTTTCACCATGGACCCTTCAACCAACCCGAAACATATCTAAAAGGGAAACCTGAACTGCTTGCCCCATGTCACCCCCTCTCAGCCTGAAGCAGCCAGAGCCATCAGTGCCCAATTTCTCTTACAGCGGTAAGAGTTCCCCTTAATCAGAGGGGAAAATGAGACAAGGGTAAAGGACAGGTAGTCAATGTAGATAATAAATGATTGGGTTGGAAAGATGGAGGCTAATTATCAAAGAAAAGGAAATGGGATGCTAACACCTCTGTATAACACTTCCCCACTCAACGTTTTGGGTTGGATGGAGGGAAGGATCGCACTTTCCAACATAAACAACTGCCCCTTGGAGTAACTCTTTCCAGCCTTTGGGCAGGTATGCAGGAAAGAAAGGGGTCTATAAAAAAGCTATATACTCCCATTCCCATGGACATCAGCTCTGGGTCTCTTTCTGCAGAGAAGTCTATCTCTGTTCTGTCTCTTAAATAAAACTTGCTTTCTCTGCTTCCTTCGGCATTTCTTGGGTATTTAATCTTCAACACTGGGAGAACAAGGACTTGATCCTGATTTCCAAGACTGTTATCATTATCACATCTGAATATGAACCCTGAACTCTGTTGGCATTTTGAAATTTGACCTGCCACTATTACACCATGTTACATAGAGCCTGTGGTTATCCTCGTTTTTATTTACCCTGTCCGCATTTGCCTGCCTATTACTCAAGTAATGGATGCCAAACTCAAACATCACTTCATGAATCAGAAGGGATATGGTCAACATGAGCTATATCTAAATACTTTTGCAAAAGAAAAGTATTCTCTGGAACTAGTCTCTTTTTTTATGGACCCCCCTGCAAAACCATAATCCATACAGCCAATCCATACAGGCATCTTGGACTGGTACTGTTCATAATTGTTTCTATTTGAATTTCACTACTCCTCAGTTATAACAGAGAACAAAAAAGCAAAACTAAAAAGTAATCACAAATATTATATATATGTAAGGGGACAAATAGATGATGGTGGTGGGAACATAAGGTTAAGAGAATAATTCTATAAAATGAATTCACTGTACTGACTCTCCACATGCTTTCTTTGCCAAAAAGCAATCTGCCTGCAGCCCTGCCTGGCCTGGGGGGACAGGAAATGTCACATTTTTCAACAAACTGAGGCAGGGGGTGGAAAGCCTGGCAGTCAGTGTAGGTAATGAATGATGGGGGTTGAGAAGATGAGAGCTGGTTATCAAAGAAAAGACATAGGCTGCTAACAGCCTCTGGATCATACTTCCCAGCACAAAGAGTTACTGGGGATTACCCTCTGTGCTGCTCCTTTCTGTCCTTTAGAGAAGAAAAAGAGAAGATGGGGGAATTCTGGGGTCTATAAAAAAATAGACCACAGGCACCCAGATCTGGACCTCTGTCTACTTCTGTCTCTTTCTTAAATAAAATTTGCTTTCTGTGCTTGCCATGGTGTTTGTCAGGTGTTTAATCTTCAACACCAGGGGACAAGGGCCCAATTCTGATCTCCAAGACTGGAATTGTATGTACACAGGAAATATTTGTAGCATATAATGGCCTCTTATTCCCTGGTCTATGTCCAGCTCTGCATTTACAGAGTAGAGAGGGCATTTACCATAGTTATTAGAAGAAATAGAAAAGGATTAGAAAAAAGAAATAATTTACAGAAAAGTAAGGATACTGCCTAATTGACTCTATTCATAAAAAGTGCTCATGGAAGTTTCTATTTATGAAGATCCCTAAAACCAATTGCCTCAAATACGAAGAATATCCAGACCACATGTTAATAATTTATACGGTTGGGCTGGGGCTCTAGTCCCATGGCAGAGCACTTGCCTAGAATGTGTGAGGCATTGGGTTCAATCCTTAGCACAACATAAAAACAAATAAAACAAAGGCATGCTGTCCATCTTCAACTATCAAAAAAAATATATATTAAAACAAAATTTATGTGGCTAAAAATTATTAAACACTGATATAAATTAAGCCTACAAATAAAGAATATGAGCTTTGAAAATAATAAAGCAAGTCTTTCCAGGAGTGGTGGTGCACACCTGTAATCCCAGTGACTCAGAAGGAAGAGACAGGAGGATTGCAAGTTTGAAACTAGCCTCCTAATTTAGCAAGATGCTCAGCAACTTAGTGGGACCCTGTCTTAAAACAAAAAATTTTAAAAAGGACTGAGGATGTGGTTCAGTGGTAAAGCCCCCTGGATTCAAGCCCCAGTACCAAAAAAGGGGGGGGGACTGGAAAATTATAATACCATTAAGAATAAAATTAAGTGATAAATATCTCCCAACTTGGGAGATATTTATCACTTAATTTTATTTATTATTAGACAAGGGGCTGTGGTGTAGCTCATGGGGCTGTGGTGTAGCTCAGTAGGCAGAGCATTTGCCTAGCATGTGCAAAGCTGTGGATTCGAGTCTCAGGACCATAAATTATCCCAATTCAAACTAATAACTTTTTGTTCATGCTTCATTATATTTCACAGCTGTGACAACAGGCCAAGAAACAAGTGCATAAAAATAAGGAAAATAATAAGATTTTATAGCATGGAGATACGCTCCCAAATTGAACACTGAGGCAAATGGGAGGAATCCCTCCATTAGTAGCCTTTAGAAGTAAACTTAGGGAAGTATATAGAAAGTAGGTATGTATTTGATAAATACAACAGAATGTTAAAAACTACAGTAAAACAACAAAATAATTAGTATCTACTTACAAGGAGTTCCTTTGCTGGCTTCTTCCATAGTTACCCTGACATAGGGCTTACTAAAGTCGACTTCAATTTCATCAGAAAAAGGAGCTGGCTGCCGTAAGCCCTTAAGAGGAGGATTAAGGAAAAAAAAGTTAAAATTCAATGGTACACACTGAAATACTAAAAAATTACAGCTTTAAAGAACAATTAGGCCAGGTATGGTGGCACATGTCTATCCCAGTGACTCAAGAGGCCCTAACAGCAGGAAGATCACAAGTTCCAAGCTAGCCTTGGTAACTTAACAAGACCCTGTCTCAAAATAAAAGATAGAAAGGGCTGGGTTGTAGCTCAGTGGTAAAGTGCTCTGGATTCAATGCCTAGTACTGAAAAAAAAAAAATCAGTTATTCAATGTAATGTAACAAAAATTCCTCTAAAACTTTATAACATAAAGAAGAAGCAGGGTGCATTATTTCAAAGTGACAAATGAAAACTGCAACCTTTTATGAAGTGAGTACATCATGGCATGAAAAATAAATGCGTTGCTGGTGATTTCAGGGTAAAACTGAGTGATCCAATTGGGAACCTAAGCACAACCCCAACTATCTGGGTCTAAAATGATGGCAAGATAGAACAGGCAACCCTGTACAGTGTGACTAAACTACCAAGGTCCTGAGTGATTTTCATACTACTTCAGCTAGACACCTGGAAAGGCAAACAGCTCCTGGGTACTATATTTAGTATAATTATCACTGTATAATGCTTTGTACTATAATTATGTTTTAATGTTCATAACAGCTCTTAAGGCAAGTAATGCTACAGTAGAATTCTTAATTTAAAGATGAGGGAAACAGGGCTGGGGTTGTGGCTCAGTGACAGAGCACTTTGCCTAGCATGTGTGAGGTACTGGGTTCGATTCTCAGCACCATGTAAAAAACAAACAAATAAATAAATAAATAAAGGAATTGTGTCCTTCTATAACTAAAAAATGTTAAAAATAAATAAAGATGAGGGAAACAAAGTTCAGAGAAGTTTATATGAACTGAATGCAGTTACCCAGAGGCAAAATTAAATTAAGAATGCAAGTATAGCTGGGCATGGTGGCACACATCTATAATCCCAGTGGCTTGGGAGACTAAAGTAGGAAGATTGCAGGTTTGAAGCCAGGGTCTCAGCAACTTAGAGAAGCTATAAGCAACCTATTGAGACCCTATCTCAAAATAAAAAATAAGAAAGGCTGGGGATGTAGCTCAGTGGTTAGGCACCCCTGGGTTCAATCCCTAATACCAAGTAAGTATGCTCATTTCTCTGTATGTGACTTTGTTTGAGAATTTTTGTTAAATTTATTCCTAAGATTTTATTCCATTTGATACTATAGTGATGGAATTATTTATTTTATTTTTAGACTGTTTCTTGATAGTATACAGAAATATAGTTGATTTGTATGTATTTGTGTAATTGTATCAATTAGTCTATTTCTATGTCCTGTGATGCTGCTAACCTCAATTATTAGTTTTAGTAGTAGTTGTTGTTTATAGATTCCTTAGGATTTTCTAATCTGAGAACAGGTTGTCTATAAATAAAGATAGTTTTACTTACTCCTTTCTAATCTGGATATGTTTTCTTTCTTTTTTCTTTTTATGGTGCTGGGGATCAAACCCAGGACCTCACGCATGCTAGACAAATACTGTACTGAGTCACATCTCCAGTCCTATTTTCTTCTTTTTATTACCCTCATTGCAGTTAGAGTAAGTACAACATTAAGTAGAAATGGAAAGGGCAAATATTCTTGCCTTGTTCCTAGTATCAGGGGGAAAGCATGCAAATTTCAATATTAAGTATGATGCTAGTTACAGGTTTTTTAAATGTTCTTCATTAGGATGACAAATCTCCCTTCTTTGTACAGTTTCTTGGAGAGTTTTTATAATAAACAAGTGCTGGATTTTGTTAATTATCTTTTCTTCACCTATTGTAGTAATCATACTTTGGTTTTCCTTTATTTATTAATTATGGTATATTATATGAATTGACTTCAGAATATTAAACCAATCTTGCATTTCTAAGCTAAATCCCTGTTAGTCATGCTGAATAAACTTTCTATATGTTCCTGGATTCAATTTGCTAATAATATGATTAAGAATTTTTGCATCTAAGTTTGTGAGAAATTTTTAACTTTAGTTTTCTTATGATGTTTTTCTCTGGCTTTGATATCTGGTCTCACACAATGAGCTGGAAATTATTCTGTTTTCTTCTATGTTCTGAAAGTATCTGTGTAGGATTGGTATTATTTCTTCCTTAAATGCCTGATAGAATTCACGAATGAAGCCATCTGGGCCTGAACTTGTCTTCGTGGGAAGGTGTGTTTTGTTTTCCTTTTGTAGAGCTAGGGCCTGAATCTGGAGTCTCCAGCTCTACCATGGAGCTATGCCCCCTAGTCCATGGTGGGAAATTTTTAATAACCAATTCAATGTTCTTACTTGATATAGCTCTGTTAAAATTTTCTATTTCATCTTAGCTCATTTTGGTAATTTGTCTCTTTCTAGGAATTTATCTATTTCATCTAAATTATCAAATATTTTAGCATATAGTTGTTCATAACCTTCCTTTACAATCCTTTTAATTCTATAGAACTGTAGTGATGTATACTTAGAATTTTAAATTCTAAACAGATCATATCATGATTGAACTAAATTCAAAGGCTGGAAAGATATTAGAGAAAACAGTTTATCTTCTAGAAAAAAGTTAATACACAAAAAATGATCAATAGTAACTTGTTTCTGAAATTCACAAAATAATACACATTTTATGATTCCTTCTATAAAAGGTTAAAATAGAGAAAACTAATCTTTGGTGGTAAACAAATAAATTTGGCAGAAAAGGTTGCTGACCAGTAGGGGGTGTAAAGAAGTCTTTGGGGAAGATATAAATTTGCGGTTACTTGGGCTGAGACGGCTAGGAGAAATGGTGCATAATGCTAATGGCCATGGGGGTTTTCTTTGGAGTGATAAAGATATTCTAAAATAGATTATGATGATGTTTCCAAAATTTCATTGATATTAAACCACCTAATTATATACACTTTAAGTGTATACATAAATTATAATGGTATATGAATTATAACTCAATATAACATATATGTGGAAAAATAGAAAAATTATGCTTATAAACAACAGTGCAGGTGGATAAAAGATCAGTCCTACTGTGTCTCTAAAAGTTAATATTAATGGTGTATTTGAACAGACAAGTCACAAAAAACCTGGAATGGTGCATGTCTGTAATTCCAGGGGCTCGGGAGGCTGAAGCAGAAGGATCACCAAGTTCAAAGCCAGCCTCTGCAACTTAGTGAGGCCCTGAACAATTCAACAAGACATTATCTCAAAATAAATAATAAAAAGGGCTGGGTATGTGGCTCAGTGGTAAAGTACCCCCTGGGTTCGATCTCAGGGACCAAAAAATAAAATAAAGAAAGAAAAAACACATGTTGTCACTTAAGAAAGAGGTAAGTTTATAAAAACTGAATATTTGAACTAAGGAAAATAAGAATGTGGTACCATCATCAGGAATAAAGGGTTTTTTTTTTAAAAAAAGGAGTTGATTTCTAAATAACAAATTCATTTTGAGATTGAGATAATACTTAATCATCAAAGAAATGTCAAAAAGACAGGTGTTGACACTAATAAAGATAAGTAGTAAAGATGAAAAAATAAGATAAAATCTTTAAGAGAGGACAGAGGATTAGCAATGATAGTGGAATGTGATGGACACAATTATCCAAAGTACATGTATGGAGATATTATTTGGTGTAAACATGCTTTATATACAACCAGAGATATGAAAAATTGTGCTTTATATGTGAAATATGAATTGTAATGCATTCGACTGCCATTTATCTTTTAAAAAAATCAATTTAAAAAGGCAGCTAAATAGCTATAATCTAAAGCAGTGTGCTACTGAATAATCTTTGCCCTAAAATTTTCTCATTACATAAATAAGCACTATTGGGTAAGACATATTGTCTAATAAAATATACATAATAGAATTCTAAAAAAAAATCTTTAAGAGAAAAAAATGTAAAAAACTAATAGGTGAAGAAAAAAATTCTAAGTGTTCATACTAGAGGGTTGGGAGAGCCAGAAGTTGTCAGAAGAGGTCAAGGAGAACTCTAATAAAAGGAATGTCAAAGAGACCAATGAATAATTTCAAAGACAGGGATTACTCTAATTGTTAAATATTCCAAGGAGATTATAAAGTCTTTAAATCTGGAGATTCAAATAGTTATTAGTAACCTTCTAGAATATAACTAGTAAAAGAACACCAGTGCCTCTAAGAAAACTGGAAACAATAGATTAGTTAAAATCACTTATTAAAGATATGTGGCTATAAAGGGAATGAGAAAAACAGAGAGGATACCTAATAAGGGCAGAAGAATGAACTGGAAGTTTTTTAAAAAGTTGAAATCTATACATGTCTAACATGAAGCAGAAGAAACCAAAGTGATTGAAAATACCAGAGGGAGTAAAAATGGATACTTTAGAAAGCAGGAATCTAGAAGAATGGCAGGGAATGGCCATAAGGACAGCAGGGAGAAGGTGTTAACCCAAGAAATACAAAGCATTTTTTCCTTTTTTTTTTTTTTTTTTTTTTAATTCTGTGGTGCTGGGGATGGAATCCCGGGCCTGTACATGCAAGCCAAGCACTCTACCAATTGTTTTATCTCCAGCCCACGAAGGATTACATTTTTCTAAAAGAAGAATAAAGAAAAGACAATAAAAGGACAATGTTGGATGAAAGGAAGGAAGATGTAGAAACTTTTGTCTGATACTCTCATTTTTCTCAGTGCAGTAAAGCACGGAATGAAGTAACCTGTGATGAACAGGGAAGCTAGAATAAGATTGAAAGCTTGAAGAAAGGAGACGAATAACTGTTGTGAGCAATGTACAAAGCATCAGCAAATGATTAGTGGAACTTACTGAGCACTATATTTATCCAAGATCAAGCTAGAAACTTTAATCTTTAGAAGGCCAAGTTAATAGATCCAGGAAGAAAAATTAAAAATTAACAGAAACTACAAAAGATCTAGGATTCGGCCCTGATGAATGGAAGGGAGAATAGGGAAGTGAAAAATT